AGCTGCTTGACATGCGCTGCATGCTTGTCCGCCGAGTCTCCCATCATTTTCTCCAGGTAGTCAACTCTCTGCTGCACACTTGCATGGTGCTGGTCGCTGGCACCATGCCTGTTCCTCATGTCGTCGTGGCTGCGGCGCAGCTCTTCAAGCTGCTTGACATGGGCTGCGTGCTTGTCCGCCGAGTCTCCCATCATTTTCTCCAGGTAGTCAACTCTCTGCTGCATGCTTGCATGGTGCTGGTCGCTGGCACCGTGCCTGTTTCTGAGATCGGCATGGAAGTCTTTGATGGACTTCATCTCGTCCTCATGAGCCTGTCGGAGAGCATTCAGATCATCTCAGGCTCGATGGAGAAAGGACAGACACCAGACGGCTTTTCGGACCTGAAGGATCATGACCACATCTTGACCGCCTGGGCGCTGCCATGCAAAGGCTAACAAATGAAGGCACTCGCAGCTGAAACTGTACTTTGGTCAACATCAAGTCAAGGCTGCGACGGAGCAGCGTTTTCAAGCCCGAGATCTCATCTTTCAGCTTGGGCCTCGACAACTCGCCATTCCGGGACAATCTAGCATCGAGGGGTTCAGCATGTCTTACAGTTGAGAGCCAGCTCTTGAAGCAAGACGGAAAAAGGGAGGAAAGGAGAAAGAAATGCTCGTTCAGGCCGCGGACAAGCTCTTCTCGATAGACTCGATGCGACTGCCCAGCGAAGTATGATGCACATCCCTGTCCTGAACAGACACAGACAGTTTTCCTCTCAAGGCTGAAGACCGCAGTCCGGCCCCCTCTCCTGGCGCTCCCTTGCTAGGAGATCATCCATCCTCAAAGGCGCCGACAGCACGGACTCAACGCCGAAACGCGCGCATGGGCATGTCCAGCTGATGTTCCCCACCAAGCGCCCTGCTCAGTGGCACTGGCCTGCTGCCTCTGGACGATGGCCTCAGCCGTGCACTGCAAGGAAGTTAACATCGTCTAATGATGTCTGACTATCGGGCTTCGGCTTCGGGATGCTACTAAGATCTGCTTTTGCAGACCTGCCTTGGTGTCTGCCAGCTCCTTGCGCAAGGCTGTGAAGTCAGATCGGAAGGCTGCCGTCCTGCCATAATTTCCGCATCGTATCTTCTCAACGCTCGACATCTCTCGACCGTGCACAATACTGGTCGGGCTCACTGTTCTCTGATTAATCGCAACTGCGTCTGATGGATTTCCAGCTCCTCCGATGCTGCAGCACGACTATTGAGTAGTGGTGCCAAGGTCAACCTACCGGCATGGCCGGTTGACAGCCACCGTCTTCACGAGAAGTCAATCGACATGACATGCGGGTCGATCAGCTGGAAGCATGTCACAGCAAAAGCCATGCAGCCCTCCTTGGCGTCCAAGGACTCAATCTGCCTTTCCCACTCCGCGGCCTTTCGCTGCACCTCCGTCGAAAGCTCCTGGTCTCAAGGCGCTTTAAAACCCCTAAGTTTTCCACGCCGACACTCGGCTAGCTCGGCCGTGGACTTGGCCGGAGTTGAAGTTCAGTGGAAAGCTGGAGCCGCCGTACCCATATCCTGCGGCTGTGGCGGGAACCGGTGTGTGCAGCAGTGTGCTCTTCCAGCGGCTCGACCTCCGGATGGCAGCCGCAAGGTTGGGGAAGAGATCGTTGCGTCAGGACCTTGACCGTGCAGAGCCCTGGAACAACCTCCTTTGGTCCTAGGACACGGCAAGCCAAGGAGCTCTGGCTTTGAGATATCTTGAACGCACTCGGAGACAAGCTGTAGTCTGGACCTCAATGACGAATCTCTACGAATCAGGTCGGTCGAAGGCTAAGGGCGGGCGTTCAGCTGGCTTCCATTAGTACACGTCTGACAACTGGAACCCAGACAACGGCCGGCAAGGTGGTTTGCAATTTCTTCCAAGATTCTCGAGCCCTCAACGAGCATTTGCGGTGGCCACATGCGCGTAGGCAAATGGATGGAATTGCACCCAGGAAGACTCTGAGGACGCCACTTGGCACGTGCAAAGATCCCAACCCGGCAAGGTTTGGTGTGTTGCTTCCTTCCGAACCGACAAAACTCAGAAGAGCACGGCAGCTCATGCACAGTGATGGCTGCTTGTCAACTACTCCCCTCACGTCCTGGCCGTAGCGGCGAAACTGGCTCCATGATTGTGACGCCTGCATAGCAACTTAAAATTGCAGCTCAACGCTACGACCTTCGATTCGATGGGTGTGCACTCAGCCCGCCCTGCTCTCATTTGCAACTGTCCCACGTCCGCAATTCCTGGATCATGTCATGAAACTCGGTCTAGAGGTCCGCTTCGAGGATTGCCATTCTCATGCTGTGAGTCGTCCAAGTGCCCTTGCTTTAAAACAGCCAGACAAGTCTCACACTGATCACGCTGAACGAATCCATTTAACCCCAGCCACTCGCAAAAACCGTCCGGCCCGAAAAGTCCCGGTGTCAGGTTTGGCCTTGAAGGCTTTAGAAGAGCGGCATAGAGCGGCAAGACGGCGGAGCAGTTCGAGGCATGTTGGATGCACAATCGGCAGCACTCCTCCGAGCTCGCAAGTCGCTGTTTTCTTGCTGCGGGGCAACGACAAGTGTCTGGAGTCGCGCCGCAAAACTTTGAAATGCGGTCTCTCAAACTCAAAAGAGGCATATATGCGAGAGTAAGATGCTCAGGCCAGGGAGTAGTTTAGCTCATTTTCGCTCTTTGGACTCTTTGGGATATGCTGGAGGTCGCGGGCCACTGCACAGCACGGGACGGGCATCCCGCGAAGCTCTGTGTTGTGCTTTCCTCGATTTCGGCATAAATCCTACGTCCTCCCTTGAGCTGTGGTCTGGATCTGAACAGTCGCCGAGCAAACGTTTGACGTGCAAGGCGAGAAAATGCGTGCCACGCAAAAGCAGCATGGACACCACCTGGCTACGTCCGCAATGATCGCAGGCAGACCCTGCAAACAGGCAGTAGACCTCTGCTCCAAAATGAAAAATTGGCGAAGCCGCAAGAAGCTGCCATGCTGGGGAGCTGGCAACCTTTTACCAGCTACCAGCATGGCGTGGCGGCAGGTTCTACATCTCTAAAATCTGTGGTTTTTTTTTAACTTTGGAAGCCAGCTTCACGCGCCAACAGCTGCTTCCGGCACAGGCGTCGCCTGCATGGCTGCGCAAGGTTGTCGCATTGGACAAGAAACTGGAAGAAACTGGACATGCCGATGCCTCGCCCTCTTTTGCAGGAGACCTGGGCTCCGACAGCCAAGATGCGCTTTCACTGGAACAGGGCGCTACTAGTACCCCAACCCTCTCCTCAAAAAAAGCATGCGTGCAACCCTTCCGCCCGGCAATGGGTGCCATGAAATGATGGGAGAGCCTAGTCATTGAGTCACTCCTTTAGCGCGAGCGCCGCCTGGCAGATGTCGGAGACTTCAGGACCTAAGGACCTGAAAGGCTAAGAGGGGTGGTCTAAAGCCACCGGTAGCAACGATGGCTTCAAGCCCAGTAAAAGCGACAGTATCAGTGGCTACTGTATTGAGCTGGCAGCTTATCAACCATGTAATGTCAGCTCCAGCGACGTCTCTTCGACAAATCTTCTGGAGCGTGTCTTCTGCAGCTTCTGCGACGAATGATGTTCCTTTCAAGAGGTCATTCAAACCAAAGCGTTGGATCAACATATCTGGAACTGCAAACCCAGTACACCGATTCTCGAAAACCAAGAATGTGTCCAGTCCTCAGGAGCCATCTTCGGTGGGGCCACAACCTTCACCATGATGCGAGGTAATTCGAACAGGTTGCTTGTTTTGCCAGACATGGCCGATGCACCTTCATCGATGGAGTCGATGTAATCTTCATCGATGGAGTCGATGTAATCATTTCTTCGGCACTGGGCGCAGCTTTGGGCGCGTCAGCCGGGGCAGTCTTGACTTCGGCATCTTTGGCTTTGAGACCTTTGCAACATCTGGACTTTTTCACATGCCGCCGCTGTGGCGGGTCTGAGGCTCTCGCGAGCCTCGGCGTCCGACAGTAGAAGCGATGCCTCCTCGAGCTGAGCTCCCCAACCTCTGCGGAAAGTGCCAACCAAGGAACCATTTCCTCTGCCCGGAGCTCACAGTGACAGAGAAGCTCGACACTTCTGGTCTCTGGGCTTTTGGGATCACTTATATCACTTTGGCACCCATGTCGAGCAGCCAAGATAAGCTCAAATGGGAACTTGGCTCGCGGCTCTCTGCTGCATCCTCCGACTGGACGAACATGCGTGCCTGACAAATCGGGTCCAAGGAAGGACGCACTGCCAGACGCCAGAGGCTCTACACGCAGCCAATGCCACAAAAGGAGAGCCTGCATCACGCCGTCGTACCTCACCAGGCAGCACTCTCTTCGGCAGCCATGGGTCATGGGTCGGCCACATTCAGTGCTTGGCCAAACCGAGCAGACTTTCTGGTTTGGGTTCGTGTAGACCGTGGCACCTACAGAAGTAGCACTCGCCAGCAGTTCCAAAGTGCTGACTACGACCGTTCTGCAATTTTTCTGCTCTAACCGAGGCCTGCCAGTGGCACCGGCTTCTCCATGTTTCCGTCCTTGCGTGGAGCATCGGCTTGGCACTTGGATATTCCATGCGTGAACAAAAAGGCCTCATTGAAAACAAAGATCACATCTCCCTTGATCATCAGGCTCCTGAAGCAGTGTATCTTCGAAAGTAAGGCCTTGGCAAATAAACGATGGGCTCGTCCTTTCCAGTGCCCTGCCGGCATCCGCTCTGCGGAAGAAGCGCGCTTGTTGGCTCTTTCCGGCCTTGAGAAGCTCTACGTACTAACGGATGCAGAACATCAACGGAGCGGTTGCTCTGCGCTACTAACATGCCATCCGAGGTCTTCGCGCAACTCCCTGCTGAGCCGCTCACTGAGGCGCCGATCGCCGACTTCTCCATCTTCGCAGCGAGGAGAGAGGACTGGGAAGACTGCTGCCAGGCCATGAGAACCTTCCAAGGCGCTTTCCGCTTATTGAGAATCACAGACATCAGCGCGGTTTCGCCGCTAAACCGCTAGCCTCCGTGGCACAACGCCGCTCGACATGGACCAGGCCTTGGACTTCACACATCGCTCTTGCGTGGTTCTGCTGCGTGCAGTTTTCGTCAAACCGAGCGGCCGGTGAGCTTCGCTGGGAGGTAGATCAACCGCTCTCCGAGATTCCTGGACATCGACACCATCGAAGCGTCGGAACACCGTGACTTCATGCTCATCCGGCCTAAATCGCTGAGCACGAGCCAAGCGCCGCACCTGGAGGGCTGATGCCGTGGGACATCTGCCTTGAGTACGCATGTGCCCAAGCCTCAGCCTTTGCGAAGGCTTCAAACTTCTCGGCCTTGATCATCGCCTCCCAAGCTCAAGCTCTCGTGTTCTTGGGCTGCTCAGGAAAGGTTAAATCCGAGGAGGTGGCCTCCCACTTGCTCAGGTGGGCTGAATGTGTGCCTGCGGCCTGTCAAGCTGCACCCATGGCGGCTCAAGGGACCTTCGATGGTTCTCATGCCTGAATGGCCAGGCACCACTGCTCAGGAGTGCCGGCTGAAGTGTCTGGCCATAGCCTAGCACAGCTGTGGCTTTCACGATGGGTGCTCGCTGAATTTAAGGCCTCAAAACATCCTCAAACCAAAACCTGGAATACCTGGACTGGGGCACCTGTGAGTTTCACCACTCGGCGTGAAGATGGTCACCATGTCGTCGAAAGCAAGTGCTTTGGCCCCGATGAGACTGAGGACCTCAGGCACGAGACGACGGGCGGCGGGACGGCTTGGGGTACTTCGGCTGTGCGACCTGGTCGTTGAAGGATGCTTTCTCTCCGAACCAAAGGGTGTCGTCACGGAGCGTGCAGTGGCAGAACCTTGCCTCCTCGGCTGCTCTCCACTTAGATTTGCCCGGGCGACACAAAGGGGAGGGCAAGCCTGAAGGTCGCAGCACAGCTGTGCCTACGGCCCTATGGCCCTACCATGCCCTACCGAACTCCTACGCCCACCAACTCTTTACCGGCTGGTGTTACGGCCAAGACAAATCCTGAGATTGAGATTTTGATGTGCTCCACACAGCAATCGTACACACACTGAACGCTGCCGTAAGTGGCTGCAGCTTTCTGGAAGAGGATGTGGCACTTGCCGTCCATGCGGAGATCACCGCTAGCAACGTTTTCGATCTTCTTGCTGCACACAGGGGATAAACTGCAAATACGCAAGAGGGCACGCTCGCACTTGCTTAGCACTTTTCACTCGGGCCTGGGTACCACGACTTGGCTCGCGCAGCTGCGTGCAATTTTGTTGCGGACAGACTTCGGCGCCTCGGCGAGACATCTTCAGCACCCCGCTTCTTCTCTGCTATCGGCCATGCTCTCCAAGCCGAGGCCGAACTTACGAGAAATCAAGACGTCGCACTAAGCCAAGCACGCCCAATACCGTGCTGCAAATGCACGATGCTGCAGCCCCCATTTGCCGCCTGTTGCAAAAGTCAACCACGGGACAGAATCAGCTGGAGACCAAGGGTGCAGTTGCCCCCAAAGCGAGCAGCGCGCCGGTTGTTTGCGTTCTGACAGAAATCTGACTGAACACGCGATACTAGCGCATGCTGTGTCAGCTGGCCGCCACAGCCTTGTCGTCGAAGCGGCCGGCCGAGTCTTCCTATGAATCAACTCGGACGATGCCTTCGCCTCAGCGAGTTGGATCCCAGAAAGTCCAGAAAAATGCACTAAGCTTAAGTCTTGATTGCACTTAATTTACTTAATGACTCCTGGACGTTTCACCTCAAGCCTCAGCCTCCGACCGCCTCCTCGATAGCCTTGGCAATCTCATCCGCCTCAGAGGACTCGGGACAGCGCCGTTCCTATTGGGGGGCGCACAAGTGGCCTCCTCCGTGTCATTCATCCACAAGCGGACCATGGCCAGGCCATTCTCTCCGCGCACCTGAGGCCACGTGTCTGGACCCGAACAGCCATGTCTGTGAGGAAACATCTCGTGCGAGCTCCCTTCTTGTCGCTGCAAAACGGCCGAGACCATGAACATGGCAACCGTCGCACTTGCACCTCCACGCTCAAGTCTTGAGCAAGTCATGCGCGACAAGGTGGCCGCCATCAGTGGAGTTCAAACAAAGCACAACAAGGCCGACCTGTCAGCACGGCCGCTTGTCTCATGACCTGCACTTCCACACCGGCAGCTAGCGATGGTCTCCAAGACTATATTGTGTGATAAGGGCGCGGTTGGGATCAGCTGTCTTCGCCGTAGCTGTTGCAGTCAGTCGAATGATGCTCTGAGACGCTTGCCCGACCCCGCGCCGCCCACTGCATGATGAGAGCGTCTCCATGAATACTGATACGGCCGGCCGCCTGCACAAGCGAGCAGTCAGACACAACACAATCACAACGGCTGCACGGCTGCTGTGCAATACTGTGTGATTTGGCCCGCGGCGCTTTACTCTCTGTGTTCTTCTACTTCAACCCTGACACATCATCGATGCGGCCACTGGAATGCGACTGCTTAAGCTGGGTTGGGGCCTTGAATTACGAGCTTCTACACAATTGCAGCTTGATTCCCTCGTTTACTGCGCAGGCAGGGGGTTCAAAGATGAAGAGAAGGGACGGGAGCGCTCGGAACTCCATGACTGATCTCAACCACCTTCACGATTGTCCCGAATCACCACATCAGGAACTCTAACAGGACCAAAGCCGGCTGTCGAGGCAGCTTGCAAGCCTCTGTTTTGCACTGCTTCATATAGAAGCGTGCCGGATACACGTGGTGCTCCTGCACAACAACAATATCAACAAAAATGGTCGAAATGACATCTGCTGACAATTCGTTAATAAAGCATACACAGCAGCTTGGCCAGGTGCGCCGCCAATGGCGGCTGGCGCACAATGCCTGCAATGTTAAGCTTGTGTTCGAACGTCCAGCGAACAACATGGAGCAGACGAGAGCCGCCGCTTAAATGCAGCCGTGCAACGAAGGAACTAGGGTTTTCAAGCGCATGTCGGCTGCGATACGAGCTGACCTTACAAGGACACTCAAGTCAAGGAAGAACTTGGATCAGCTGAGATCTGCTGAGTAGCTGGGAGCCACACGAGGAGCAGAGCCACTCCATGAACGTGCCGAAGGCGGCTGCCTGCTGCGCCCTTCGCGTAGCCTTCGAAATCGAAGGCTTCTTCGGAACGCGGCCGGCTCATCCAAGCAGACGATGAGCCTTCTGCTGCTGCTGAATCTTGGCTTGGAGGTGTGCCAAGTACCTGGGTAGTGAACGCTGTGGCCACTGTGGCTCACTTGTGGCAGAATTCAGACCCTGCGCAAGCAAAGCCGGGAGCACTGGTCTGAGACTCGCTGAAAGCTGGCTGCCTTTGCTGTGGAGTACGGTTGGACCATTCAGCTACAACACTGAAACTCCACTCAAAAACCCGATCCCTCGATCCCTCCATCTCGGTCTCTGGTCTCACTTGAAGTCGAAGCTGGTGCTGCGGCAGCTGAGCTACACTAAGTTTCTGTGCCCATTGATCGGCTTCCTCCACCGTCGGCAAAAAGAGTCGCAGAACGATGTCCTGGCCTGCGAAGGGGGCAGACCGCACAATGCACACAAGCACCCTTGCACGGTTTTCCGCACTGGCCACGTGCCTCCAAACAAACAAACTGTGGAGCCCATAGCTTTCGTCTTCAGCTTGGAAAGATCCATGAAGTCCAAGATTACCTGAATAGCGAGACACTTAGTACTTACTTGGTGACAGCACGTGACACTCGCCACTCTTTCCGTCAATCGTTGTGGGAGCAAGAGATCTTAACCAAAATCGAGGCTGGCGCATTCCATTTCGGTCCGAGGAGGAGAAAGTTGCCACCTCAAGCATGGCTTGTCTCATGGCATTTGTCGTTTCTCATGAAGTACTGACAGATTTCAATATGCCTGCCTTTCTAAGCGGATCATTCAAGAGCTCACACCACTGCTCATGCGAGGCGAATTCCGAAAACTCCCTCAGCACCTGTGCCAATGTAGCATGCTGCAACCTGCAACAGGCTGAAGCTCCACGACTAGTCAGCCACTGCCCCTGGTAGCCGCGCGTAGCCGCTTACAACACGCGCTTGACAACTACAGAGATGCATCAAGCCGGCAGCGCACGTTTGAGCTTGTCTGATTTCTTGGGCTTTGTCAGGGGCATTTCCCAGTTGGCGCGTGTCTTCACAGCGATACTCCGCCTGCCTCGGACTTACCTGCTCGCAGGTAGTAGATCGGGCCATCAAGATTGAAGCTGCTGGGAAGTGTCTCCTGGCAACGAGCTGCGATACCAAAGAGAAAAGGCCTCAGCTTTTTTGCATCAAGCTCAAATGTACACCGACTCTAGTTCGTCCTCGACCTGCTTCTGGGTCGATCCTTTGCCCTGCCGAACACACGGCCCAACGAAGAACCGAAAAAAAGCTACTCAGCAGTGATCCTGTCATGTCAGCTGGTATCTGGACCTGCCACTGGAGCCACCGCGCGGTAGCAGAGGATGCCGTGTCAGCTCCCATCGCAAAACCTTTTGGCTATGGCCGGGCAGGAATGGAACTGGGCCCCTCGCAGCGACCGAGAACAACCAATGCACCAAGCTCTCCGTTCACATCCACACAATTTCAACGGACATGGTAGGGCGTGCATTGCAGATGAAAGATGGGCTAGAGGAAAGCTGGGGCGATGGATAAAGCTGCATCATTAATGATCATCAATGCATCTCTAGATCACTAGGGCATCGCCGCAGAAGAGCAGGTTGCGTTGCTGAGATGGTGGTCCAGGTTGTGGCACATGGCTGTGCAATCTGGGCTTCCGGCGAACTCGTAAGGCGAACTTTGGCGCACCCGAACCAAACTGCTTCTGATGTAGCGTGTGATGCACTTTGTTGGGGCGCGCTTTGTGACAATGATTGTCGAGCAATCCACACCCTTTTTCTGCGGGATTCCGCAAGCATCGCTAAGTGCACACTCGTTCTCTCTCTCTCTCTCTCACTCTCGTTCTCTCTCTTCCTGCTGGGGCACCTACAAACCTGTCTTGGAGCAGTGAATTCAGTTGCAGTGCCCGCAACTTACACAAAAGATTCTCAATGGCAAGCTGCCGGGCAGTGCAGTGTCTATACAGTAACCCTGATTTGTCAGCCGACCAACATTTCTGCAGGGTATCGGCCCGTCGTTGTAAGATGACTCGAAGCCTTCTGCAGAAGTGTCCGGCTGAGGGCGGGGTGCTTCAGTGCTTGCACTTTTGCCTGAGGCGGCGAGGAAGTGCCAGCAGATCACCTCTGCCTTCACGTGCAACCTAAGTACAGAAATCCAGCGAATTTGAGTGACGATGCCTGAAGCTTCTTCCAGACACCCGCTGAACGCTCCGTGCTCGACCCTGAAGCCTCCTCGGGTCGCCCAAAATTTCAGTACGAAAGACATTCCTGATGTATCTCTAAACTCTACACGGGATCCAAGAGGTCGAACACTCGCTGCTTTGCCCGTGAGACTCAAGGCGGCGAGTTCAGCGCTATCACATGCATCCACTCCCAGCAGGATCCCACATCGCTGCTTGTCGAAAACCCTGGCAGATGCTTTCACCGGTTGCGCAACTTGCTCTTCCACAACAACCAGCTGGGCTCGCATGCAATGATACAACCTTCCGAACCTCACAAGCCTGCGCGAAAGACCCATTACCCACTACGCAGTCTGTACCTCCGAAAACTGTCATCGTGAAAACCTAGAGTTGGCTCAGCGATCTGAACCTGAAAACCTTCTCGGCTTATAGACTTAATCGGACTTATAGGTCTCGTAACAGTGTCCAGGTGTGCTTGGCCACCAGCGCTAAAATCATCAAAGGCCTTGGCACCCAGAGATTTTACTTCTCCACTGGAAGAAGGCAATGGCTCGGACAGATTGGGCGCCCCTGCAAAGAAATTGTCAAGTGTCTGCCGGAGTTGGCCCTTCACATGCAAAAGGCGCAGCTCAAGCATGATGCACTTGCTGCTCTTGCATCTTAAACCACATTTTCCGGAGTTTCTATCGCATCGTCTGTCAAGGCAGTCGGCTGGGCTCAAGCCCAGCTACTTCCCTGCCTGTTGCCTACGTGAACCGCTCTGCGATGGTGTGAGACCAAAGATGAACTCCGCCAGCGGTCCCTCGCATCTACCGGTCTGCGCTTACAATTGAAGCTGTGGAGACAGTGCAAGCTAGGGAGGCGGGTCGTCCATCGTGCTGTTGCTCGCAAGCTGCAACTTGCTACGGTGTCTGACTGAAGTAGAAGTTTCTCTCACACATTCAAGTATGTCGAGAACGAAGCAGAAGTACGGATGCAAATGCATCTTGTCGCGGCAGCATGTTGTGAGACTTGTCCAGCCGGCCTTCTCACAACCTGTACATCTTCCGTCCCTCAGCAGGTTGCGTAAGCCCACGTGTCAGCATTAACAATCACGGAGAGCTTTGCAATGCTTTGCACTTCCTACTAAAACGCAGGCATCCGTCTCTGCTTCCCCCACCGTCGTAGTGACTTGTCTTTTGCAACAGTGGAAGGCGCCAAGCATTAGATTCGGTTTGCCAGGATTCGGGCTGCTTTGCGGATTCCGCAGGAGGTCTGGTGCAAACAAACCCGTTTTCATCATCTCAGCCCTTTGCGGAAACAAGCAGCACTGTTTCGCAACACCCCATGCAGCACGGCCATCGCGATGATCCCCTTCAATTGAAACTGCAATCAGACCTGAAGCCACCATGCCTTGTAGGCTCCTTGCTTCACTTCTTTTTGGCTCCCTTCTTCTTGCCTCTTGCCACTGGGCGCCGAATGCTACACAGAGGTCGTCCCTGCTTCACCCCCGCTGAGGCTCATGTGTCCCTTCTGCGATTCAAAGCCAAGTTGCTGGAAGCCGCAACTTTTGAGCTTTCCTGCAGCAGAGACTGTCTAACAGGCCCCAACGCATAGTGAATCATTTGCGGCATCGGAATGCTTCCAATCCCGAGATGGCCTAAAATTGTTTAAGTGAAAGGTCCCGTAAAACCCCAAATCCCGCCTTTGTTAGTTGAGCCTGCTCAGTCCTTGAAACCTCATGGTAAACAAATCGACAGATGATTGGTAAAGCTTCCCCATTCACCACAGGCATTGGGAAGACACGCAAACAATCGCAGACACAACGTACTGCAACACTTTATGACCGAAGGCTGCGACAACATTGTCCAAACAATCACAATCAAGGACACCCTGGCATGGTCCTTTTTGCTTGCCACATCCTTCTTTACTCCCTTCGCAGCTGCATCTGCCTCGCTCAGCGATGGACGAGGCGTATTTCAATCAGACAGAAAGCCCGGGATGAATCCCGACACCGCCTTCGCTTTGCGTTTTTCCTCTCTTTCTTTCTGTCTTTCTTCCTTGGACCTCTCCCGAGTCTTCAGCCCGTCCTCGCCAGTCACGGCCCAGCTTTAAACCTATCGCCGAAGAATCCACAAGCAGCCTATCAAGAGTTCCAGCATGAAACACGTCAGGGTCCATCTGCTGCCGCATGATGTTGCCGACGGCTAGCTGGAATCTGTCCGGGAGACAACACCGCAAGAACTGGACATCAACTTGAAACGTGGCCGCACATCCCGGCCTAACCAAATCCTTCGCCTCAATGATGCAGCCTTGGCATGTCCATACAATCGCAAACGAACCGCGCACTGTGCACAACTGTCATCAAGACGGACAGTGGTCACTTGGCTGCGGGCTGATCTTGGACCTCTTCTTGTTCGAGTGGGCTCGGATCAGGCACCTGCCCCGACGTGCATCCATGATGAGCCTCTTGGAGGTCTCGGGAAGCTTCTCGAACCGAACGGATCCGAACCGCGATCGAAGCGAGCCGCAGTACGGTGCACATTGGCCTCAGATGTCTCAGGGCTAGCTGGGGGACAGAGTCTGGGGTCCTGCCGCGGGAGGCCCTCCTGAGCCGCTTTGGACAGGCCCCGAATGGCCCGCGACTCACACGAAACCAATCACTACTGACCGAACCGCTTGGAATCGCGACTCAACTCCAGTTACAGTTCATGTCAGGCTCGTTGGAGCCGAACCGGAACGTGCCTGGGCTCTTCTTTGGAAGCGGCCTCCTCCATGAGCTTGGGCTTTCTTCGCCGAAGCGATGCTAACCTGCACATAACTGTGCAGAACGATGAAACTTTCGCTTGAACGCGTCATCTATGGACAACAAACACCGGCTAGCTAGGGTCGAGCCTCCCAGCGAAGCGCTTCATTGAAACATATACCGTGCCTTTGCGCAGACGTTGAGTTGAGGCTGAAACAAGCTGGCTAAAGATGGTAAGTGCCCTATCAGACTATGCCTTCTGCGCACTAGGTTAGTTTACATGTATATCTGTAGTGCCCGAGCGTGAGTCACACATCGTCAACAGACACGTGTGCATGACTCGAAGAACTCCGGACCTTCCTGCACCGCTACAGCCACAAAGGATCACGTCAGAACCCTCAAAGACAACAGTCTGGCCTGCCCGATTGAGCCCGAAAAGCTCCGTGAGCCTGGGCATGACAAAATCGACTCCCTGAGCGCTTGGACAGGGCATGAGAGTGACCCTTGCTCGGTCTCATGCTTAGTCAAGAAATCGCTTTCTTCGAGGCGAACCATAGCTGGCTTTTGCAAGCAAACCACACCAGCCAATAACAAGAAGTCACAAGTCAATGACAGCTTCAGTTTTACGAAACGTGGTGTACTGTGCTTGTGTCAAGCTACTGGCTACGAAACAACGTTTGAAAGCCATGCTCTTCTTCCCACGGCCCTCCAAAGCCAAAACGTCTGCGTAACTTCACATGATGTGGGGAAGCACAGGATGTGCTTGAATTCGCTGGTGAGGTCCGCGATGACAGCACTACAGCACTCTTGAGGCAGACTCGCAGAATGGTGTCAATCAGCCTTCCAATGCCCTCTCTATATATTGATGATCTCTGCCGGACACTTCTGTGGACAGAAATCCGCAATGCTGTAGGAAACGTTGGAAGACGATTCCCTGCCTTGCTGCAGCAATCTCATGGAGGTGCAACAGTGTCACCTCCGCAGGCATTCTCAGAATGGCACACTACGCCAGTTGAAGAAACCCTCTGTTGCAGTGCACATTCCAGCTCCAGAACAGAGACTGTGTCCATCTTCGGGCACAGCTTCGAGTTGCATGGTGGCACTATGCTGCAAAGCAAAATGACACTGACATGCAAGCTGGATGTGCCGCAACGCCTGACGGCAGTGTCCTCTTGCCACTTTCACCGTCAGCCTGGCTGTTAGCGTCAAAAGCTGCTGCTGCACGTGTCAGCAAATGTCCATGCCCCTGATGCACCACAGCTTAGCAGCAAAAACATTGAAATTCGCCGTCATGTGTCACCACATTGTCAATATTGTCTATCAGAAGTTGTCACCAGAGTCCGAACACGGTGCAGGCCCGCCCGTCAAGCGGAACCACAACTCAATGACGACAGGAGGCAACGTCGAGACACTTGTAGAAACGGAATCCGATCTGCGTTCGGAGCACCCGCGGCAACATTCTACAAGAAATTGGTTTGACGGCTGTAGCAACCACGACCATAAGACTGAAACAAATCCGGTATTGGCAAAAACCGGCCAAATGCATGCCAAAGGGTCCAAACAATTATGCGGACGGTGTTGAACAAAGTTCGATAAAAGGAGATGCGTTTTGCAACATTACCCAGCAAATCACTGAAGATCCCTCGTCCCCATGTTCCAAAATGCGTCTATGCACTCGAAACCACGCCAGTTTCCCGTCTATACTCCTGTGAGACGGAAACAAGACCACAACCCTGATAAGACTTGCTGTTCTGTTTTCCAAGAGTTCTCGAATATGCTGTCAAGGTTGAGCTATCAATTCGCCTCAACCTGCAGATTCCCGGTAGGGGAAAGGAGAGAGACAGTCGATGTCATTCTAGGCTTGAATACGGATATTGAACAAGAATGCCAGGCCATCTGGGTTTTTTCGCTGTGTGTTGACGGAGTAAAACTGCGTGCCAGAATGCGCAAAGGGATGCAATTTCTGCCATATCTTGCAAGGACAGTGCCAAGACTGTCTTGGCAACCTGCCAAGAACGCAGACAGCTGCCGATAGGACACACACGAGGTTTGCAAAGATTCACATTGCTGTGGCATAGGCTTAAACAGCGTTTTTGGTCTCTCTGAACCCGGAAAAGCCGTGCCCCTGGTCTAAACCAACGTTGCTCTTCCTTCAGGCATGGAGATTTCGGTCTCGGCTCATAACTGCAGACTGTCGCAGCTAATACCGTTCGGTTGAGGTCAGGTCGGGCAGAACAAACCGCCCCTCGTCAACGGATGATCTTCCGCAACATCTCGCAGGCGCCCAAGCGTCGTCGAGACAATAGTTTGGCTCAGCCACGACAGGCGAAATTTTGCACAAGGGCAATTCAACGGCACAATACATCAAAGACTAAAAACAGGCAAAGCAAACGAGCATCTTGCGATTCTGGGAGCAGCATAGGAGTCGAATCTTTATTCAAAGCTCTTCAGCTCAGCAAGGCCCACACCCAGCCCTTCGATGGCGAATAGGCAGCCTGCAAGAGTATCTGCATGTCACGTACAGAACAGAGCGCACGACTCTGATTGGAAGTCTCCGGTGTAGGGCCTCTTCGTCGTCACAGCACTGCAAACAGTCGCTGTCTGAATCGCCAGTGTCGCTTGGGGTCTTAGTGGACGCATCGCCACACTCGTGCAAGATCATGTGAAGTCAGAGGATTCCACATGTCAGCTTTCCAAAATGCTTGATCTGCACCGAGGGGCTTCTTCAGAGTCCGATGCTTCTGCCTCATTGGTCTGCTTGCCTGGCAAATTT